GAAATCTCAAACTAGGCAACTGTCAGTACCGGATGTGCATATCCAGGCCCGTCGTCCTGGTCTTGCCGGCTGTGCGATGCGCCCCAGTGCATGCGCTGGCATCAAATCACATTGGCTTTTCTCATGATTCGATCGGATAACTTTCTGATTGGAGTCAGACGCCACGCTGATTTCGAGTGGTCCCGTAGTCTCGGGTTCTTTGCCCAGCCCACGAGACCACAAGCCCATTATGTCCACACTTTTCCTCACTTTTCCTGGATTCGCACGGCTGCATGAATGCTGAAACATGTAATCGTTCTACCATTTCACAATGGAACATTCACGCGAGACCAACCGGGAATTTTAGGCTTGACTCGATGGAAGACAAATACCACGGTGGCTGGTGGGACGAACACCCTCCTGATTGGCGCGCATAGCCAGCAACTTCCAACACCAACCCAATGGCCACGAACATCAGCGCAAACCCCGTTCACGAAGCGGCCTGGGTAGTGGGGCGGCCACGAGTTATGCTTGCTTTTGCAAACCAACCCCATCCAATGCGAGGACGTCATCGTGCCCAAGAGCTGTACGAATGACCGCATGCATGGTTGCTCCCCCGGCAAATGTCTGCTCCAGGTAAGCTCTCAACGCTGTGACGCGCCAGAACAGGACGTTCCAAGCGCATCTAGCCATGAGATACTCCACATCGCGTGGAGGAGATGCCGTGCAGATCACTTGTTTTGGCACCACATCTTGGTGCGGTACCACGTTCTGCGACCGTGGGGAAGCAGATCGCCTCCCGCTCGTCCGCCCGCCGCCGATGGCCTCGGTTCCGGGTCGAGAGTATAAAAGGGCGGCGGGATTTAGGTTGGGACAAATGCAAGCGCATAAGCTTGAGTTTGTGTGCTTTCTATCTATCAGCTGAGTCGTGAACCTTCAACGCCCGCCCACAGGGTATTCTCCGGGTTTTACGAACGAGCTAAATATTCCCGTTTCTGGAGAGTAGATCTTCCCCGCACCCCTCCCCGAATCAGACTTCTGGAGGTCCAGTTTTACCCCGGACTGTACTCCTGTTGGCTGCATCACGAGTCTGGGGAACTTGATACGCCAGGCCATTGAGAGCAGGTCGAGACAACGCACGCAGCGACATTGCAGATAAAATTGCTTCACAGCACGAGAGGAATAGTAATTCAACAGTCAACAATTAAGAATTTAGTGGCACGACAGCATTGATCATCATGGCTCTTTTCAGTCTTGGCAGGGGCAAAGGCCTGCAGATGGGCGTAACGATTTGCTGCGTAAGTCATCTCAACGGCAGAGCATTGGTCTCACTACGATAGCGCATCATTCTGACGTGTCCCCATGTAGCTTATCGCCTTCGTACTTTTTGGCTACGATCAAGGAGTGTTCGGAGGAATCCTCCAGATGGAAGACTGGCTTGACCAGTTCAATCACCCATCCGACTCAGAAACTGGTATCATCGTGTCCTGCTACAATCTGGGCTGCTTGGCTGGCTGTGTTTGTGGGTTCCAACGAACACTCGAGGTTGAAGGCCTACGCTGACCCGTTGAGTAACAGTGAACTTCATATTTGGAGAGACACTGGGACGTCGCAAGACAATTTGGACCGCCATGGCGCTGGTTATCATTGGCGCTACGCTACAAGCATCAGCGTTCACGGTTCCACACCTTGTCATTGGAAGACTTGTGACGGGCTTAGGCACGGGCATGAAAACCTCCACAGTTCCGATGTACGAGTCCTTACCAGGCCTTCAAGCTCATTATCTTAACTCCAAACAGGTACCAATCTGAACTCTGCGACCGCAAGTATCGAGGCCGTCTTGTTTCCGCCGAGACACTCTTTGTGGGCGTAGGCATTGTTTTTGCCTACTGGTACTTGGCTTCTAAATTCCTGAATAAGGTCATGACTGCTGACCAGCGGCAGGTTCGATTTTGGAATGTCCTTTGTCGGCGGAGCCATTGCGTGGCGTCTCCCTCTCGCCTTCCAGATCATCTTCGCCCTCGTCGTCATCGTTCTAGTCTTTGCACTTCCCGAGTCACCCCGTTGGCTGTTCAAGCATGGCCGCGAGCAAGAGGCGGTCCAAGTTCTCTGCGACGTCTTTGATAAAGATCCCACGGATGACTACATCCGCGCGGAGGTGTATTCCATCCATCACGCCATTGAGCTGGAAGCCTCTGAGAAGAATCAATCGTCCTTCATGAGCATCTTCAAGAACGATCGCGTTAAGACTGGCCAACGTGTCCTTCTTGCCTGGGGAGCGCAGTTCATGAATCAGCTTGGCGGAATTAACCTCGTGGTCTACTATATTCCCAGCGTTCTGGTACAAAATGTGGGAATGACGGCACACATGGCCCAGATCATTGGCGGATGCGTTCAAATGATGTTTATGTTTGGATCGATCTTGCCTGCTCTTACCCTGGACCGAATGGGTCGCAGAAAAACTATGATTTGGAGCAGCGCTGGGCTGGGCGTCTGCATGCTAATGATCTCGATCCTCCTCTCTCGTGTGGGGTTTTCCAACGGGCACGCATGTTCTTCAGCTTCGGTCGCGTTCTTCTTCCTGTAATTCCCCAGGTATGGATGTCAAATTGTCTACATGTTGCTAATAGTTTCAAGATACAACCTCATCTTCGGCATGGGCATGAACTGTGTCCCATGGGTCGTCGTCCCCGAGATTCTTCCCCTTCACGCCAGAACCCGCGGTACCGCTGTTGGCATCAGCTCTAACTGGCTCTGGAACTTCTTCGTCGTCATGATTACACCGGTCATTATCAACCGTTTGCAGTGGAAGGCATACCTGATCTTCGTGGTGACGAACTTCGTATTCATTCCGCTGATCTATTTCTTCTATCCCGAAACTAGCAACTTCCGCCTCGAGGAGATTGACGAGTTCTTCACTCAGGGTCGCAACCCAGTCAAGGTTGCCAAGGAGATGCAGAAGGCTATGAAGAGTGGTCAAGATATCTCCGGGGCGGATGCCGAGAAGACGGTGTCTGGCTCTTCAGAGAAGGAGAAGGTACAGGTGGAGCATTCATGATCCATATAGGCAAGCAGCTTGACAACCTGTCCATTGAGATTATGTGAAGTAAGGTTCCCTAGTCGTTTTCTACCAAAGACTATTGCCTGGAATATTTCACAAAGTAGCTTTGCTAAATGCAAGAAATCTGTGTTCCACGCTTATCTACAAAACCTTGAATACCAATTTCTCATTGGAGATCTTACCCTCCTCAGACAGCTTGAAGCCCTCAACGACAGTTTCCAAGCCGCCAAGCTCCCTCACCTTACTCGTCTTCAGGTCCCCATTGCTCAGAAGCTGAGGCAAAAGCTTCAAATACTTCTCCCACACCTTCTTGTCCTCAGGTGTCTCGTCTCCACAGTTATCAAACCGGAACGGGAGAGCCCTCTCAAACACTGTGTAAACAATCGTCCACTCAATCTTCGCCCACGGGTTCACAGCCTTGATCTCTTCCTTTGCGGGCGGCATTAGAGGAATGAGAGTAAGAACGTGATCTCCTTCACCCCCCTCGAGTGCCTGCGCGATCTTCAATGTTGAGCCGTGCTCTGACACAGTGTCGAAGGCGCGTTTCAGCTTCCCGCCTGTGACTCTCTTGACTTCTTCAACCCACTCTCCGTGATAATCGATCACGACATCCGCTCCCAGCTCCTTCAAGAACGAATGATTCTTTGGCGACGCAGTGGTGATAACTTTCAAGCCGCTCAACTTTGCCAACTGAATGGCATAGTTTCCAACACTAGTCGCACCGCCGTAAATGAGCACCCACTCTTCTGGGCCTTTCTCTGATCCCGGCTCAGGGAGGCCAAGACGTTGATATAGAGCTTGTACTGCTGTCCCCAGAGCAAGACCGACGGTCGCAGCGCTCTTCAGCTCCACATTATCGGGAACTTCAAACAACAAACTCGCTTCAACGGGGATGTACTCTGCGTACCCGCCGCGGATCGGGTTTGCAGGGGTTCCGTTTTGGCTGGTGCCTTGGACAAAGCCTGCAACACGCTGGCCCTTGCTCCAAGCAGAGCCGTTGGGATCTTCAATTGTTCCGGCGAAGTCGGCGCCGACAATAAGACTGGCGGGGGCCGGTGGGGCGATGGGTGGAGAGCCTTTAACGGACTTCCAGTCCGTGGGGTTGAGGGCGGAGTAGTGCACTTTGACGAGGACTTCTCCGGGGCCGGGTGTCGGGATCGTGGTGGATTCGACGGAGACAACACCGTCACCTTGGGTGATGAGAGCTTTCATAGAAGACATTTTGGGAAATAATTGTTATGATTTGGGAGCATACAAACAATGCAGGTCTGTTTGCAGATGTGGATGGGGCTTTTTGGTGGATAACGTTACTGATTGATAGCTCATAATTGCTGCTTGGAACTCTGCCTCTTAAATCGTATCTGAAGATTTCCAGTAGACGATTGAAATTTCTAAGCATACTTTCGGCGCCGAAATCCTTTGAAATGTGAAACTAAAGCCGCCCCTTGAAAGCCTTGACGATCTCTAACCCGGGTCGGCGAAAAGAAAACATATCGCGAAGCGCGAGTCCGAGCCACCCAAACGGGCTACGTTGAGAATGTTACGTTATGAGGGTAAAGGGACATTGGTAAGCACGGTTACGCCACACGGCTCAATAAACTGCCCGCGTGCGGAGCGGCGTCGGTGTGGGTGTTCCGCCGTTTGGATTGGATCTTTTGTGTGCCACGATCTAGCCAAAAGTGGGCATCATGTAAGATCCCCGTGGTATTCCACGGCATTTGGGATTTTGATATATAACGTTATGACCCCTTGAAAACGTCAACTGATATTCCAAATACAGTGATGGCGATATCGGTGGGGATCAAATCGACATTGTCATTAAAAATGCATGTTCGTCATAAAGTCAATTTGAAATAAATAGTCATGGTGAGTACCTGTAAACAGAGGCGAAGAGGGAAAATAGATATTGAGTCTACCAATATCCTGTCATTAACTGTGGCCATTCAAGTGTGACTTAGACATGGCGAATATCAAAAAGGTCGCGATTCTAGGTGTAAGTCCCTTCAGCTATCTCCATAGTAGCTAAACACATAACAACAAACTCCTAATCTCCAGGCCACGGGCTCCCTCGGAGAGGTACTGGTTCCCTCACTTGTTGCCGCAGATTTCGACGTCACTTGCGTTCTACGCAAAGATAGCAAGTCGCAGCCGCCTGACGGAGTGCGAGTTGTGAAAGCAGACTACACTGACACTGCATTGCTCACTGAGGCTTTGCAAGGGCAAGACGCAGTTGTAGAAGCGTTCAACCCTGCAGCATCCAGCCATCAAATAGCCATCCTCCAGGCTGTCCTCGCCGCCGGAGTGAAGCACATCATCACACCAGACTTCAGCGGGAACACATTCCACTCCAACGCCAAGGATGTTCTCATTTTCAACCCCAAGCTGGAAGCACAGCGGGAACTAGAGAGGGTGGTTGCCGAGTCACAAGGGAGATTATCATAGACCGCGATTATTACCAGCCCATAGTATAACTAGACGATCAAGAAGGATATATTTTAGGTTGATCAGGAGAGAAAGGTTGTTACGAGGGACCCAAAGGCGTTAGTCAGCCTGCGTCAAGCGCAAAACTCCCCCTACTCACGTAGGGAGCGAAAATACTAGGTTTCCATGTAAAGAACTAGTTTCCACCCTAATATCACTAATAACTCTATAGCCCTAACCCTAAAAAAAGCTTTTTGTAACTTATAACTATCCTTAAAACATCGCAAAAATTCCTATATAAGTATTATACTTATATATACTATAATTATTTAAATATCTAAAAATATAGTTTATATAAAGTTTAATTATAAGTATCACAAGCCTTTCTGCTCAGGTCAGCTAAGTACGTGAATAATCATATACCTATAAGGACTCTTAACATATTAGATATAAGAGTCTAAACCTTATAAGTATAAGAAAATATCCTTCTTAAACTATAAAATATAAAACCTAAAGATTAATTATATTCACATTCCTATTATCATTATTTATTTTATTTATATATAGTTTTAGCTACTCTTATTATAACCTCTAGCTAGTAAGACAACTATAATAATTAATAGTATAACTTAATATCTTTTTCTCTTATATAACCTTTTTTCTCTATAACTTTACTATTATTTTTAATAATAGTTATAAAAAAACAGTATAAAAGCTATAAAACGATCTTTGAACTAATACTTAACTCTAAAGTATAACTTTAAGATTTCACTATAATATTAAGCTTTTTAATATAACTTATAAGAAAAAGTAGTAAAAAAAAAGAGAAAGCTTAAAAAAAATAGTACTTAGTAGTTAATATTTATAGCTAACTACTTAAGTTCTCTAATTTTACTACTCTTTAGTAATACTTCTCTCTTTAGTAATAAAAATCCCCCTTAAGAGAACTAACTACTAAGAAAAGCTAAAATATTAAACCTAAAATATTAAGTAATCGCTAAAAGGTTATAGGTTTTCTAGTAAAAATATTATAACTACTAATATATTACTAGCTTTCATAAAAGATTTTATAACTAAACTGTAATTTATATTTTATTAATTAAGATAATAACAATACCTTTTTTATTAATATAGATAATAAAGCGTAAAAAAAAGAGTTTACTTAGAATATAAATAAATGCTTTATTAGTTTAACTATATTATAGCTATTAATAGTATACTTAATATTATCCCTACTATATAAGGATGACTAGCACTAAAAGTATATTTTACTTTAACCTCTTAAAAAGAAGATAACTTTATATAATAATAAACTTACTCTCTAATTCATAAGAGCCTTCTGTATATCTGCTAGGCTGATCGCTTAAACTTTATATCCTGCAGTTCCTTTGGTGTGTTGTTATGCCCTCTTATAAAGTGTTACGAAAGGGGCTCCTGGGAGGTGGCAGGCAGCTCTGATCTGGTGCACTTATCCTGGCTCTTCCTCGCCTTTTAGACGTGGGTCTACGCCGCCCCTCTTATATTATATCTGTTATGCAGCAGTATCATATAGGATGCAGTCCCTCTCTATGTAGGGCTTCCCTAGGAACAGATCGTCGCTAAGGCTATATACAGTATATATAAAGATCTTCTTATTATAACCGCATAGCTTGAGGTTAAAGATAACCACACCTATTGCTTTTATAGCGCTTATAGCGTTGCTAAAGCTGCTTAGTACTTGCTTAGAGCGGTCTACTACTAGCAGGTGGAGCTTGCAGGCTAGGTTATAGTTAATAAGGGCGTATAAGTTGCACCCTATATCTATTAGGGCGTCTGCTTAAATGCCCTTATATATATAGGTAGTAATCACTACTGACTTACTGCTTATATGATGCTTAAACTGCTTTTATTTTATGATATCACTAAGTTCAGCCTCTAACGCCTAACTTTACAGTGGAGTTACTCTTTTCCTAAGCTCTCTTCAGCCTCAGAGCTTCCCAGCTCCTCTATAGGACTCTTATTACTGCTCTCTTCTCGCTTCTTAGCTTTCTTAACCTTCGCAGGATAGGAACGCTTCAGCTTAGGACACCATATAGCAATATAGCTGATCTGGTTGCAGTTGAAGCACTTATAGGTGTCTCTCACAAGCTGCAGCAGGTCTTCAGATGAGGAGCTGCTTTATTAGCAACATAACTTTATCTTCTCCTTACCCTTAGCGCAGCTGACGCTAGACATCAGTATATCTCTATCTGCGTCTTGTTAGCAGTTAGGTTGCAGTACTTTCTGAGAAGTGTAACTGAGGTAGCGTTCCTTAAGCTTCCTGCTATCTAAGCAGGATCCTATAGTGAGAAGCAGTTTTATAAACTAGTGGTAGTCCTTTAGCGCTTCTAGTACCCCTATTAATAGGTTGCTTAACTGGGAATTTATTACGCCTTCTAAGTAGTTGATCTTAATCTTATCTTGCTAAGATCCTCCCCTACTTACTATAAGCTCCTTCTCAAACTTAGGAAAAAAGGAAGTAAAACTCTCTTCCTCTCGTTGCCGTATAGTATATAACTTATCTAAGGCTTAGGCTTTAGCGTTTAGGTCCCTATATATTCTTTTGAGATAGTCTATAAATCAAGCTGAGGAGGTGTCTCCTCAGGCTACTCCATCAGCAAAGAAGGCGGAGGATGTCGCTTAGGCGGTTCCCTCCAGCCTAGCGTAGATATATGCGAACGCGCTCTCTTCTCCGCCTATAGCTTCAGCGTCGATCTGTAGCTTTAAGTTTATCTCTAGAGCCTACTATAGAAACCATCGTCTTATGCTATCAAACTTTAGGGGGTTAGGAAGCGTTAGCCTCAGTCGTCTAGTTGAGGTTGGTTTATAGGGCTCAGCCACTATTATTATAATGCTATCGCTTGTTACCTATGTAGTTATATCAGCTGTAGACAGAGTAGGTATGCTGCTTGCAATTAGCGTAAGGGTTGCTCTATCTGTTAACATAAGCCTGTTCAGAGCTGTTAAGAGCTGCGTCATCTGGTCCTGAAGAGGACATATGCTTGCGTTAACCGCTTCGTTAACCCTGCGGTCAATCTCTGCAGTTATCGCGTCGTTTGCGCTAACCTCTGGCGAATCCATCGTGTCGCACTCATGAGGTTTTCATATAGCGTCTTCTCAATACGCTACCCTCTAGCGAATCAGTCGTATCGCTCTCGTGAGGTTTCATAAGCGTCTTTTGTTGTTAAGCTTAGAATATATAAGGGGCTGGCCCCTAGGCTTGTTTAACGTAGAGGTGCCGTCGATTGACTATTCTAAGCTGAAGAAGAAAGAAAGGACTTTATAAGAGTAGGCACCTAACAGCAGTGAAGCAGGCCGCGTTAGGCGGCGTACTGCGGCAGAATAGTGAGTCCAACGGAGCCGGATCTCAGTAACTGCTCCGGCGAAGCCGGAGATATCAATCCGGGCTCTAGCCTGTGACAATAGATATATAAATAAAACCTATAAAAAGAATAATATTAATAAAATGTATATATTTCTAACTTAATATTAGATTTAATAATTATAGTATAATAGATGAAATATATATTAATATTGATAAATTAATAATTCTTATTAATAAAAACTAAATAATATATTTTACTTAGAACCTAAAGTTCTAAATAATTAAGCTATGAAAATAAATATAATTAATTTAACCTTCTAAGTTATAAAATAAATAATATTTAATTTCTATATCTTTAGAAAAATTAATAATATAAATATTAACACTTATTATATTATTACTACTAAAGTTATAGATATTTTAAAAGCTAACTTACTTCTAAGAACCTTATTCTATAAAAACTATAAGATTATAATTAATTTTAATAAGAGCACTATTAGATTTTAGTCTATATATAATATAAGTAAGCTTTAGTTAATTTTATTAACTATATATAATAACTTATAGAGTAATCTCAATATATATTATTATTATACTTCTTTAAACTAGTATTTTTATTTTTATTTTTTATTTAAACCTACTAAATAGACTAAGCTAATAAGATAGAATATAGTATTTTTAAGTAGAACATAATAATACTATAAATATAACAATAATAAGTAATAACTAGAAGTTTATTCTAACATAAAATAATATAGCTATTTTATTTATAACCTTAAGAGGTAAATAATTAGAATATATTATCAAAATAGAGCTTAAAGAAACTACTAATTCAATTAAATAAATAGATATTATTACTCTAATAGATAGCTAGCTATTAGCTTATATTAGATTCTTAGTTAAAAACTTCTCTTAAATTATAATAAACGTTTATAAATTTATAAGGTTTCTTAACTAGCTAGTACTATAAAAACTAAAACTATAAATAACTATAAATAATATATTATTATGTAAAATCTCTAAACGTATTAATATCTTAGTAATCCTTAGTAAATATAGCGTTAAAACTTATAATAGAGATATAATGTTCATATAATATCTTAAGAAAGTTCTAAATAAATGGAATACTTACTATAATAAGAGGATTATTTCTATACTAAATAAATAGTAAATAAAGATTAAATTTATTAATAGATAGTAAAATTAGAAGGTTATAATAAAGCCTTATTTATTAACTATAAAGGATTTTATTTTTACTAAAAGTATTTATAGTATGGTTTATATAGATAGTAAAATATCCTAAAAAGATAATTTAATCTTAGTTATGTATTTAATATTTATTATCTAGAGAACTATTAATAATATAAAAAAACGCTATGTTATTATGGATTTCTAACTATTTAACTATATTATAGTTTTTAATATATATTTAATATTTAATTCGGATAGTATTATAGTTATTTTAAAAGAAAATATATAATTATAATAAATATTACTAGCTTTTTCTATTAACTGTTTATCTTCTTAAAATATTATAATAGAATAACAATAATTAGCCTCTATAATATTAAGATCTCTAATATAATATTTATAAATTTTAAGAATTTCTTAATATATACTTAAAGATTTATAGATAGATTATTATATAACTACTAATATTTTATTTATACATATGTTC